GGCCCCGTAAGTTTCCCAAGACCCTTTCCACGTGGCTATGCAACCCATTCTTTCCCCTATGTATTCCTAAGTACCCATCACAAATCATGCCCAAAGCTGGACATAACATTCAGTGTTGGAGCACTTGCCAGGCATGCACAAATCATGACGAAACTAGCATGCTTTGAAAGAGCATGTCTTCGCGTGAGAAGAGTTTGACTATATATGTAAGTTCATAGTTAAAAACTGGGAGTACTTGAAAAAGGGGGTCCAATGAGACAGAAATCAAGAGAAGCTCAAGACGGTGCTACCCAAATATTTAACACTACTTGGGACCAAGTGACTCTGAGCCCCAGTCCCATTCATGCTTGGGAGTTACCTGCACCCAAGGAGTCATCCCAGGAGTCCTCAAGGTCACTGGCTCCTGGTATCTGGTCACGGATTCTCAGCTGACAATCCTCATCTGGTTCCTTAACTGTTTGCAAAATGTGCTGAGGACCAGCTGCCTGTGTCCTTTCCGCTTTCCGCAAGCTGGCTCCCTCTTCCCCTGCAGTGACGGAGGCCACTAAATCCTGATCACAGTGTTTGGCCCAAGCAGCAGCCTCCATTAAGTTGTCTGGGTCCGTCACTATCTGATTTCGAAGAAGCTGGTCCAACGTGTCATAAAATGGGCAGTGCGGTGGGTCCCCCATACTTGTGGCATGGGCTACATAGGCCTTTAAATATAATGCCTTCAGAACTTTAAACTTGGAGCGGCACTGGCGTTCGGTGCGGCGGAAGCCTTCCTGCTGCATCCGCTTAGACACAGCCTGATAGACATCTGCATTATGATGCATAGTCTGGAGGCGCTGGATGTACTCTGCCTCGCCTAGTATGGAGAGAAGAGTTCGTGTCTCCTGTCTGGACCAACGGATGCCCGCACTGCTACTGGTGGTGGCCATAGTGGACTGGGAAGGAAGGCTACCGAAGCAAGCTCCTGGGCAGCAGGGTACAATTTTGAAGGCGTGGGGAAGTTCTGTGTGCTCTCAGCATTTTTCCAGGAGCCAGCCGGTTCTTTCCTCTCAGGGCTAATTGCTGAGAAGTCAGGTCTGAGGACCACACTTCTGGCTGGAAGGCCACAGGGGAATGAGAGTTACAGGGAAGGTGTAAGGATCATTCTGGCAGCAAGCTAAGTAGTGCTTCCTGTGTGTAGGTCAGAGCCGCGGCCAAGACTCTGGGAGTTCATCTACTCACAGGAAGTACCCGACCATGGGCTTAATGGCTTGGGAACAAAATGACTGGCTCTTCTACAAAGGGCTAAATGCACCCAAGGCTGAGACCTGATATAACCACGCTTTATAATGATCATGGTCTTGTTAAGTGGCTAGGCCAAGGAGAAAAATAACCTGAGCACGAAACAGTACTAGCAGGGCTGTGGTGTAGTGGTATGTCTGAATGGTACTCGACATTGCTTTATCTACTGCAGTGTGTCTGTGTGTTACCCATCTGACGCTCTCCGGCATTCTTGCTAAGTGGATTTAGCTTTCAAGGCCAGACAAGCGAGCCTGAGCTGTTCTGCTAATACAAAGTACAAAATGTGATAAATGACAGTCATGGCAGCATCAAGGAAACAAGTCAAAACATCACCGGCTTCCAGGGGATAGATCTGGAAACGTTCTCTGTCTTGACTGGATCAACATTAGTGTCCTGGTGATACTCAACTATATAATCTTGCTGGACGGTGCCACTGGGGGAACGGGTAAAACTAATAATATACTGGTTGCTTTTATTTTCTTTTGCGTGAAACTAGGATTATCTCCAAAGGGCAAGGGTTACTAAAAAAATTGCTAGCTCCTCAATGACGCTGGCTCCAAGATCTATCACAACTCCCCATTTATAATTAAAAAAACATTTGATACCAACTTATTTTTAATATGCTTAGCAATACATTTTAATAACACTACGAAAGCTAAAGGCTATGGGCGCATACTCATCACACAGACACACACACATACACCACACACCAATCTGAATTTGTTCCTAAATGTTGTGATATCAAGTTCAGTGTACTAAACAGGCAAGAGCTAGTAAAATAAGCATGCTCTGTAAATGAAGTATTATATTTAACTAACAATTTCTAAGTTTTAGAATCATCACAAGGAAACGTCTAATCTTTACATTCTCATGAAATGAAGCAGACCAGGGTGGAGCTGGACTACAATGAGTCCTGAACTGCAGGCTTTCCTAATCCACCTCTTTAATCTGGAAAAGTCACAAATTCCAAGTGCCTTGACTTCCTCATCTGTAAACAGCAAAGGGCAGTACCCATTCGGCCAATTTTTATGGGGATGTTGAGAGGATTCAATAGAATCATAGATGTGAAAGCACTTAAAATACCACCAAGTACTACCACACCAGAGAAAACGACAAGGCCCTAGTTATTATGATAATCTATAATTTGAGGAGACAGAAGTCTGGGGGAAGCGAGCTTCTACAATCTTCTAATTAAAGTCACAACAGATGATTGACCTGCTTCTTAAGACATTAATTAAGCTGTTTCTCCAATGATTACATTTGTGAGTCAATTGGAAAAGCAGTTCCCAGAAAGAGTCAGACGGGCCCCCTAGGAGGAAAATCAATACCAGCTACATAAATTATGACCAATTTTAAGAGATTTCGCAAAACTCAATCACCATGAAGAGAAATCTTCACATTCCCACATAATTATTCAAGTTCACTCAGTTAAAAAAAAATATAAAAACGCAAACTGCCCAAAGTACCGCCTGTGACTGAGACAAATGGCCAAGAGTAAAAGAACGCTGCATTCATTAATACCATCAGACCTGTCAACAAGAACCGAATTGCTGAACAAACGCACTGGGTACTCCCCAAAATGACTATCATCAAATAAACTGCAGTATCTCTAGGTTTGCCTTTTGCCTAGAACCTACAAGCATATGTTTTCGGTTAGCACATCTTAAAAAGGACTTTACATCATACCTTCTGCCAAGGAGCTGCTTCACTTTCACTACTGTGCTCGAGATATTTCTTACTCTACTTTGTTTTGCTGCCAGACCAACAACCTGAAAGAGAGCAGCACATTAACGACAATGCATGCGAGCCGTCATTATTTTCAAGTACAAAGACAGGGGTAAGAGAGCGACCTGTTCATTCTCCGAGTAGGCAACAATGGCTGGCGTGACTCTATCCCCTGCATCGTTCGCAACCACATCGGCCCGGCCATCCTAAAAAGACACATACAAGGGTTACTTCTTTCGCACTGGACTACACAAGCTCACTGAACATACCTGCAGGGCGTAGAATTTTAGAAGAGCCTTTAGTCAGTGATGGCCATTCAGGTCTTGAAGTAACCGTTTGTAAATAATCAGTGATTGTTACCTGAGATTCATGTGGTTGCTCTTCCTTTGGGATTTCAGAGCCTTTGCACGACACCAAGTCACAAGTCACAGACCTTCCTGGCAAACCAGGAACTCTGGCAATGGCTGAGAATTGCTCAGGTTCCTCAGACAACTCCGAGATCAGTAAGAGGTTCTGGTATTTGGAAATTGACTTGCTAAAAGGCCTTTTGTGTAACAATCAAAAAAGCTACTCTGCAAGGCTACTCTGGGGTTCAGTCCTCAGAGACTGGTCCAGCCTGCTGCTGGCAAAGCCTTATGACATCCTGCAGTGTCTCTTCTGTACCACCCTGCTTTACTTCGGCATTTATATGCCAATGTGATTTTGCCATCTATTTGCAAAGAAAAATTGGTTTATCAATCTTTTTAACTGCCACTATTAGTTTCAAAGCTTATACTCCATGCATCACCCCCCCTCCCGTTAGTTCTGCACAGTAAACTGAATCAAACATTCTATACACAATAACTTGATACATATGACTCTCCCACAAGTACACCTTTCCTTCCTACTTTCCTACAAATGCAGCAGCTAATCCTTTGGGACTTTCCTCATAAATCACATAACGCTTAAACCCCAAGTGGGTAAATTCCTTGTCATTGTTCCTTCTGCCTCGATATTCAGGAGAAAAATGTCATAGCTCCTTGTCAAGTTCTCAGTTCCAGAATCACCAAGTGTGTACAGCAGTGTCAATTCTTAAACGGCTACTCCTCTCCAGGCTGCAGTTCCACAGCGCTTCTGGCTGTCCAGAAATCCCAAAGACCTCCCCATTCCGGGAATCCCGAGCCCGTGATGCCACCGTGACCGGGGTCAGTTGTCACTAAGATATCTCTGGCATCCAGGGGATTCTGACATTCAGGTTTGTTCTAGGTATCTTTACAAGAGGATTCCTGGACGCATCCTGGGACCCAGACGTCTTCTGAACCCTCTGGTCATCATATGGCCACGGCCTCCTAAGTGAACCCTGCAGGTTTGAGGTCCCGGAGACTCCTCTGGGTATCCCATGGCCTTCTTGTTCCTGGAAAGCCTCAAGGGAGACAGCAGCCCCGACGTCCCAGGAGGGAATCCCGAAGTGCCCGGTATCCCTTCAGCATCCACCCTCCACGCAGCGGGCTTGGCTGTGGAGGACGAGCGGAGAACCCACAACATCGCCACTCGCTCGTAAGTAAGGTTCCCGGGTCGGGAACAGGGTAACCATCACGAACCCCAGAGCCAGCCTCCCAATCTCACCTTGTAGACAGCCACACAGGCCGATGTGCAGCCCAAATGCACGCCGATCGCCGCCATGAGGCGGCGGAGACCACAGCAGCTCAACGAAGGACCCTTCCTTCAGCAAGCACCGCTAGTCTCCTCGGAGCAAACCCATCAGCCACTGCGGAGACTTCACGTTCCCGCCCGCCTACTGCGTCCGGCCTGCTGCGCCGGCCTCCCGAGCCGCAGCCAATCAGCATAAGGAACCCGCCTTCCTTCACAGCAGTTAGCCAATAATTTTAGCGCATCGCTCCGCGCTCCCTTGGAGCCCTCCGTGTATGCCGTAATGCGCACGCGCAATCCGTAAAGGACCGGAAGAGGCTCATTAGCTTCTTCGCCCGAGCCCGGTTCACGAGAGCCAATGGGAACTCTTGGCGTAATTGCGTCACTTGTTTCCTCCCTTCTCCTAGCTTCCTGAGGTTGCACCAGTAGTGCGGAGGCACAGGCAGAGTCCGGTCCTAGGTTAAAAATGTGGTGCACCAGCCCGGCTACCCTAGTGACCTTTTGCGCCGGGGTTTGGATCTCGAACCTGATGCTGGCGCAGGGCCTGGAGGCCGGTGTGCGGCCGGGGCCTGATTGTGAAGGTGAGCGGTGTGTGACCTGCTTGCATGGCGGCGACACCACGCTCAGCCCAGCAGCCTCTTCCAGACCAGGCTGTAAATAATATCTCACCCGAGAAATGCGGCTCAGTCAATAATTTACCTCCCCACCCCCGCCTTTCGCAGCCTGAGCAAAAGCTTGACTCGGTGACCCTTGGGAACAACGTGCTGCTTTTGCTGTCATTAAGTTAGCGCGGGAAAAGGAGTGATTTAGGATTCCTATTGGATTTTGTGCAAGTGATCTTGCTGCTAACTCAATTCTGTTGCTCCTAACTAGGGAGACTTGTCTCTCTGCGCGTAAGACATGTTTTGAGGTTCAAACTAATTTGTCCCTTTCAGAAGGAAAATAAAACATGACAATATTGCTAGGGTTGTTGAAATCAAAGACAAAGTTAACGCTGGTGAGAACTTTCTAGACGGAAGTTGCTTTACAAAAGAGCACAATGATTCCTTGAGAAGAGAAAGATAAAATAGACAACCTTTTTCTTCTATGGACTTGGTGATCACAACACCTTTATCTATTCCACCAACCCCCTGACTTTGAGGGTGTTGTAATGCTTAGGTTTAACAAAAACAGAATCCTTTTTAAAGAACTGTTAACAATAGCCAAGATGAAAGTTTTGATAGTCCCTTCCTTTGGGGCCACATTCTTCTTTTATTAAAATAATTCAAATGTGTATCTTCTGATCTTGAGAGTGGATGCACTAAAGAGGAAATGTAAACTTAGAAGCTTCATACTGAATGAGTGGTTGTTTGTGCAATCTTACTATAAATACTCTTAGATGAAGTTCAGTTTTCTATCAGCATGTCAACACAATTGGCTGGCTTGTTCTATATTGCTTTTTTTTCTTTCTGTCAAACAATTGCTTGTTTGTCAACTCTACCTTCCACTGGGTTCTCTGCTTTTCTACAGACTTCCACTGTTTTCCTTTTTTAAAATATATTTTTATTGATATTTATTGAACTCTACATTTTTCTCTGCTCCCCTCCCTGGCCTCTCCCCTCCTCCCTTTAGCCCTACCCCAAGGTCCCCATGCTCCCAATTTATTCAGATCTTGTCTTTTTCTACTTTCAACTTCCCATGTAGATTAGATCTATGTAAGTCTCTCTTAGTGTCTGCATTGTTGTCTAAGTTCTCTGGGATTGTGATTTGTAGGCTGGCTTTCTTTGCTTTATGTTTAAAAATCACCTATGAGTGAGTACATGTGATGTCTTTCTGTGTCTGGGTTACCTAACTCAAAGTAATGTTTTCTAGCTCCAATCATTTTCCTGCAAAATTCAATCTATCTAGTGCTTCTGAGGTCCCAGGCTCGGGTGTGCCTGAACCCACAGAGGACCTGCTTACTTCCTCAGAGGCCCCAGGGGGTTCCAGGTACTGCCTATTCCCTTTGATGTCCCAGGTCAATGTCCTAACCCACAGAAGACCTGGCTCAGGCCTACTCTCTCTGAGGTCCCAGATTCGCACCTGGCCCCACCAAGATCTCTGGTTCCTGCCTATTCCCTCAGAGGACCCAGATTCACTCACGCCCAGGCTGACAGAGGTCCTGGCTCAGGCCTAGTACCTGGGTGGTCCTAGACTCTCACCCAGACCCACCGGGCTGTTGGCTTAGGTATACTCTCTTGAAGGTCCTGGATTCACCTTGGAGAACCTCAGCAGTCTCTGGTTCTGGCTCACTCGCTCAGCAGTTACTCCCCTGTACCTGTTCTGGTGGAAATCGTTGACTCTGGGTCTGGTCGCTGGCTCAATACTGATCCTTCAGTTTCCCGGGATTGGGTTTGCTCCTGGCTTCTGCTCCCAGTGGAGCTTGTTTCCCCAGGTCCTCTCTGTCCTAGGTAGCTTGTTCATTTCCACTCCTGTGGAATTTGTTCCCACTGTTTTTCTTTCTACTGTCCTGGTGTCCTTCCCTGTACTTTGCCCCATCTCTAATCCCCTAGGAGGGTTATCACATTGCTCCTTAGTTTAAAAAAGTCTTTCAGTGGTTTCCCAGTTTCCTCCTGCTTTCTTTTCCCACATAACTAGGATGTTTCTCAGAGGATTCAAAAATTTCATTCTCTGCCATGCAACTGTGTACTTTTTATAGGTGTCTCTAGATGGTGCCTCTCACCCCATGGTTTTCAGGATTCATTATGCCACACAATAGTCAGATTATTAAATAAAAGGATATAAATGTGCGGTGGCAAAATTCCATGCATGTTTTGGTGAGCCCAACGTTGTCTGTCTTTCCCTCATTGGATAAGTGATGCTGGTCAGAATGACAGCTGAGGCTGCAAAGAAGAGGACAGCTGTTGCCGTGATCTTGCTGTCAGTGAGCAGGAATTCATCAAAGTCTCTAAGCAACTTCTCATCTGGTCTTCCTACAAGAGAGATCCAGTCTTGCAAAGTCTTCTATCTTCACCCCAGCCTATCCTCATAGGATTTCTCAGCCTCATTTAAAGAATGAAGATATAGTGCAATGCTTGTATTTTAAGCTAAGTGTTGTGACAAAACAGTCAAATAGTTTTTTTTTAATTAAAGAATTTATATGGTGGAAAACATAGTAAGCTTGGGTTCATCTATCATGAAAGAAAGAAAACTATTTTTTTTTCCAAAAATTTCATGTAGCCTAGGTGTTCAGTGATTGTCGTGTCTACCTCAGTGTGAACTAATACTCTTGACCTTCATAGTGAGTCTCCCCTTTCTGGCTCCCCCACAGTTTCTAGCTCTACAGGCTCCATTCGTGGTAAGAGTCACATGCAGTCAGACCATTTTATTTTAAAGCTCTCTTTTCTGAAGATTTATTTTTCTTTATGTGTCTCTGATGTATATGATGCATGTGTGCATAAACTGCCAGAGGCCAGAAGAGGGAGTGTGATCTCCTGAAACTAGAGTTTCAGGCTGATGTGAGTCACCTGATGTGGGTGCTGGGAATGAACTTGGGTCCTCTGGAGGAGCAGCAAGTATCCTCTTAACCACTGAGCCGTTGTTCCAGCTCTGATTATTATTATTTTATTTTCACTGTACCTTTCTTATGTCTACGTACCTGACATTGAGTGAAACTTGCTTACAGTATGTAGCATGTTCTACACACAGAATTGATCCCCTTGTGGCTGCCGGCTGTATATGGTCCAGGATAGCTATGAATATAGTTCAACATAAAATCACAACATTGTAAGATTTTGTGTATGTATGCTTTTTTTTCTCGTAACTCAACTGCATGGTTCTTAAGCATAAACTCTGTAGATGACAATGTAGTGTTGTAATGCTAAAAGACTGGCTATACCTGCCAATCATGTAGCCTGGGAACAATGTACACTGTGACCTAGATGTGTAGCAGTCTATAGCATCTAAGTTTCTGTAAGTACTCTCTTTGATGTTCCCACAATAAAGTCACCTAGCCACACATCTCCATCGTTAAGAGATTCATGACTGTACCAAGAGACTTCCCTGCTGTTTCTACTTGAATTATGCATTAGTCAGAATTCTTCAGAGCAACAGAACCAATACAAAATGTGTGTCTGCATGTATGTATGTGTGTGTTCGCGTAAGTCTTTAATTGTAATTTAATTTACAATGAAGTTACATACCCATCATATATTGAACATATAAGCCAACCTGCATTCAATACACCTAATCTGACAAGCATCGCAGTTTTGCAGTATGGTACACTGTAGAAAGAGGCGTTTAGCCTTATGATTGTGAAGTCGACTGGGTGCTGTGAGTGACTTCCCAATCACATTCTCCATCAGGATGGGGAAGGAAGGTATCATAGGTCATGGCCAGTTGAGATCAGAGACAAAAGTAATCTATTTGAAATGATTTCGGGTTTGATTATTTTACTAAATTGATTTTTATGTTTAAAGAGGTAAAAGGACTAATAATATAAGTATAGAACAGGAAGCTTTTGGAAAAGAGCCAATTAAATTTCTGCAAATAAAATTGATGAGACCAGTGATCAGCAGATTAGATACCAGTGAGAAAAAGAAATAGTGTATCATAAGATCTAAGAGATGGACTATAGATATTACTCAGTTGGTAGAGCGCTTGCTTAGCATGCATGGAACTCTGGGTTTGACCCTCCAGATGGCATAATATGGTAGTGCTCACCAATAATCCTAGTTCCTGGGGCATGGAACAGGAAGATCAAAAGTTCAGTGAAATAGGGAGTTTGAGGCCAACCTGAGATACATGAGACATTAGCAGTGGGGGGGGGGGAAAGTTGGCCAAGAATGTATCACAGAGCGATGAAAGGAGAAGATGGGAAAGAGATAAAGAGATAAAGAAAACTCCTACAAACAGTCATTGGATTTTCAGAAGATCAGCAGAGAGGACATAGGCATTAGTGACATCACTCCGTGTTGTGACAAAAGTCCTGAAAAAAGCAATGCAAAGAAGAAAAGATTTCTTTTTCCTCCTGCAGTCAGGGAAAGCATGGGCCAGGGGCCACTGAGGATCAAGTATCCTCTCTACCACTTGACCAGCAAGTTAGGTGATGATTTTTTTGCTCAGTCTCTCTACCTGTAAAGAGGGTAGTGGAGTATCTATGCCATAGCTTTGTTGTGAAACTTGAATGACTTAAAATACTTGCAATGCTTGCATCAGAGCCAGCAGCTGCCAGCCCTGACAAACGTTTACATGGTGATTCTTCACGGCTGCGCCTATTCTGAGTCCCATCTCTCACAACTCAAGACAATTGGCACTGAATAAGGTTCTTCGCATTAGGATTCAACCACTGTAGTGATAGTTCAGTTGTATTTAAACAAATAAAGCTTGCCTGAAGATCAGAGAGTGAAACAGCCACACTGGTCAGTCATACAGACCAGGCAGTGGTGGTATGTATACACCTTTAATTCCAGTAGTCACACTAGTTAGCCATAGAAGCTAGGTGGTTGTGGCGCATGCCTTTAATCCCAGCACTAGAGAGGAATATAATATACGAGGAGACAGATCTCAGGCTCAGTCTCTCATTTTGAGATTCCTGGAGGCAGGATCACCATTTCAGTATGAGATAGACGTAAAAGCCAGTGGCTGGCTGCTTTGCTTTTTGGATCTTCAAGTTGAACTCCAATATCTGTCTCTGAATTTTTTGTTTTGTTTTGTTTTGTTTTTTTGAGACAGGGTTTCTCTGTAGCTTTGGAGTTTGTCCTGTAAGTAGCTCTCATAGACCAGGCTGGCCTGGAACTCACAGAGATCCACCTGTCTCTGCCTCCTGAGGGCTAGGATTAAAGGCATGTACCACCGCCGCCTGGCTTGTCTGGGTTTTTATAATTCATGCTACTGAGAATATGGTTTTCAAACAACAATTTAGGAGTGCACCAATACCAGATTCATGGTGGTGGAACATAAATCCTTGTGCATGCTAAGGAGCTTCTTTTGAGGTATTATAGTTATTCAGAATTTTCTCTAAGCCTGAAGCAAAGTTATCCCCAAGACCACGTCCTATACAAAAGTTATCTTAACTTTTAGTGTCTTATCTATCTTATCTTTTCGTGCTTATACAAAGGTTTTCATTTTCGGTAACTTGGTTTCAAAGACTGATTAGTGGATTCTGTCTACTGCATTCATGGCTTTAGTAACAGACCCCCAAATAATGTTTAGGGTTTGACTCTATGGTCATAATACACTGAACCATACCTATATATTTTACAGTTTATCTTATTGTATGCTTATTAGTGTTGCCTAAATGTGTGCATTTGTACCAGATGTGTGCCTGGTGCCCATGGAGGCCAAAAGAGGGCATCAGATCCTTAGAACTGAAGGTACACATGGCTTTACTGTAGATGCCAGGTACCGAACCTGGGTCCTCTGTAAGAGCCGCAAGCGCTCTCATTTGCTCAGCCACCTCTCCAGTCCTGAATCAACTGTATTTTTCTCACTTGGTGGGTGGGTCACAGTCATAGATGTGGTAGAGGTAGAATGGTGTAACAGACCTAAGTCTCTCTTCCTTCTAGTATGTAAAGAATTCTTAAGCCGATTCTACAACTCCTTGCTAACCAGAGGAATAGACTTTGCTGTGGACACCATAGAGAAAGAGTTGATCCGCTTTTGCTTGGATGCCAAAGGAAAAGAAAACCGCCTGGTATGGTAAATTTCACTTTTCTGGTGTGCTTCAAAGACAAATAAACAAATAAGTAAATAAATAAAAGCCAAACTACCAATAAGTTCCTCTCCCACTCGGAGTTGGTGTCCTCCTACTTCAGTGCCTGCTTCAAGCATACCCATTGTAGACGGCAAGCAGAAAACAAGCTTCTGGGAAACATGGTCCTGTGTGTTAGGTCTCAAGCCCTGGGACAAACGGCTGAGGTTCCTGCTCAACAAATCAAAGTGGACCTGGCCATCAGGTATTCCCAGCAACCCTCAGTCCCTACCCATTACAGGGTCCTCCTGGCTGGCATAACCACCCCCTAGTCTAAACTTTCCCAGCCCAGGGGCTGGGCTGTTCTTCCCCCAGAGGCTCTTCCCTATGTACTCCTGCCATTTCGCTTACCCGTTCTCTTTGGGGTCTCCTCGCTGTTCTCTCTTTCTCTCCCCTCTCTCTTGCCCTCCCCCACTCCTCACACGGCTCAGGGTCATGTCCACTCTGAGCTCTCCCAGATGTCTCTGTCTCTACTATGCTCTCTCTTTTACCCACAGTAAACCTTCTCCTCCTCCACCACACCTGGGAACGGCCATGTCCTTTGCTTTTTATCTCTTTTCTTTCGCATTCACTATGGATTCTTGTTGAGAGCAATCCAGTTTTCCTTTCTAGCTCAATCACAGGCAAGCAATTTTATATTTCCTTAAACCAAATTGTTAAATAGTTTCTGATGAGAATTTACTATTATAAGGCTTTTGCATTTGTTACTGAGACACATAGTCAAACCCATAAATCATCTCAGTATTATTCACACGTAATGATTGAGGCTTCTATATTTTCTTTTTTAGATTGTGTTTCCTGAATTTAATGTATGACTTGTTTCAGTATTTCTATAAAAATAAAGACAATTTTAGATCAAATCGGGTTTTTTTTCCCATCTTGGTATTGAACCTATAACCTTGTTCGTGCTAAGCATATGTTTTACCACTGAGCTATACCTCAGGTACCAGACCAGTTCTTTTTTGCCTAAAGTAGCCATGTTAATGTGGACTACTGACTGACACATTGCCAAACTCTTGTTATTTATTTATGCTACCGGCCTTTACAAATGTATAAACACAAGTAAAGATTTTTTTTTTATTTTTAATTATGCATATGTGTGTGATTCTGTGTAGGGGTTTGTGCACGTGTGAATGCAGGTGCCTGCAGAGGCCAAAAGAGGGTGCAGGATCCCCTTCAGCCAAAGATACAGGATATTGTGAGCTGCCAGATGTGGGTAGATGTTGGGAGCCCAACTCAGGTCTTTTGGAAGAGCAGTATGAACTCTTATATATTGAGCCATGCCTCCAGTCTTACATACATACATACATACATACATACACACACACATATATATGCCTGTTTTTTGAGACAGGGTTCCTCTATGTAGCACTGGCTGTCCTGGAATTTGCTTTGTAGACCAGGTTGGCCTCGAGCTCAGAGATTCACCTGCCTCTGCCTTTGCCTCCTGCATGCACGGGTTAAAGGTGTGCACCACCACTGCCTGCATTTATAGTCTTCTATGTAAAACTTTAAGTCAGGTAACTGAAAAGGCAGTGTGATGAAAGTTAAAGACAAGGTGATGATGCGACAGCTAAAATTCTGGACGGCCTAATTCTGTCTTTTCTACTTTTGGGCTGGGCGATCTTCGCTGTCGTGGCTACAATATGGGGATAATAATAGCACCCACTTCTCAGGATCACTGTGGGAAGTAAATAAGTTAATCCCTTTGAAGGGGTGAGAACAGCACCTGGCAGAGCAAACCCCAGTCTCTCACCATCACGGAAATTATCGGGTGCATCTAATTAGCCTGATGACAAGGCTGGAGTCACTGTCTTTGGGTGCCTCAGTTAGCCAGGGTTAAAATTTAATAGCTGGACTATGAAAACAAGGCTAACCCCTCATTCTCTCCCACCCCCTTTTCTTCTTTTCTTTCTTTTTTTATTTTTTATTTTGTTGTTGTTGTTTTTTGAGACAGAGTAACAACCCTAGCTGTTCTGGAACTCACTTTGTAGACCAGGCTGGCCTCGAACTCACAGAGATCTCTGCCTGCCTCAGCCTCCTGAGTGCTGAAATAAAAGGTGTGTGCCACCACCGCCCCGCCTTGTTCTTCCTTCTTTATACTGCTTTCCTTGCTTTTATTCGTTGATGGGAACACTAAGTCTTTCAGGTCACAAGTCACATTTCATTTATTTATTTTGTATGCATGTGTGTGGCATGTATACAGAGGTCAGAGGATAACTTGAAGGGGGCAGTTCTCTCTTTCTACCACGAGGGTCTCAGGGATCAGACTAAGGTTGTCAGCCTTGGCGGCAGGCACCTTTACCGTCCACATCTTCTCATCAGCCCTGGATGGCCTCTCATTCTCTTCTCAGTGCTATTATCTGGGAGCCACCAAAGATGCAGCCACCAAGATCCTTGGTGAAGTCACACGTCCCATGAGTGTGCATGTGCCCGTAGGGAAGATCTGTGAGAGGCTGAAGAAGATGGACAGCCAGATTTGTGAGCTGAAGTACGGTACGAGAGACACGACTGTTTTTCCCAATACATTCCGCGTGTGTCAAGCTTTGAAACACTGGGCCATGGTATCTCAAAGCCAGCGTTAGAGGGAAGGGATTCTCCACTCACGGACAGGCTGATGAGCTGGTGAATGGTGTTTTTGTGTCAGCTGAGCTCCTATTAAAAAAGGGAAATAAATGAACTAATAATAATCTTACAGCGAATATTGGATACTAAAGGATAATCGGCATTGAGCTGGAACTGCCAGCCCAAAGTTCAAATTCCTAGTTTACTAAGGTGATGTCAGTCATGTGTGTATGGAAAATTTCTGAAAATGAAAAGAGGAGCCATGCACGGTGGACCAAGAAGACTTGAGCCATCTGTTCAGTGGCGGTAGGGCCTTGAAGTTGCAATGGGACGACATTTTCATCCTAGGCGTGTTCGTCCTTCCGTCAGCTTTCACTTTTAGGAACTGGGCTACTTCCATCAAATCAGGTTTTGTGTGATGACATAGCTCACCAGTGGCGCCTAAAATACACAGCCTGGAAAGGAATGTGCTGTCCTATTTAAAACTCTATCCTTGGCCTTATAAATTTCACATGGTTAAATCTATTCTTATACTGAAGGATTGTATCTGGGCCAGCCTGTTGCATAGAGGGAGTCCGGGTGATTAAAGCTTTAAAATTTTTCCCTCAGCTATCCTTAACACCTGAAATCCCACTGAGAGATACTCTTTCTTTTTGCATAAGCTGTTGTTTTCTGTCACACACACACACACACACACACACACACACGCGCGCGCGCGCACGCGCGCACACACACACACACACACACTATATTACTGTAAGTGACCTAAGTAATTAGCATCCAGATGTGAATCATTTAGTCTCATTTCCCACCACAGCTTTGAAAGGTACACATGTCCCATAGCTACACAGCAAACATGAGACAGGTTTAAGGTTGAAATAGGCCCTGACTTCCAGGACAGGTATTATGGGTAAGCATCCCTTCTAATTGACTTTAAAGGAGTAGGGTAGAGGCAGGAAACCCTGAGTCCATACAAAACATGTGCATGGAAGGGACAACCTCAGGAGTTCAAGTTCTTGATATAAAATGGCATAGCATTTACACAGAATTCTGCCACGTCATACAATGCAAATGTTATGTAAATAGTTTTCCTTTACATATTTTGTGTGTCTGTGTATGCTTGAAATCCTGTGCATTCTATCTATCTATCTATCTAGATAGATAGATAGATAGATAGATAGATAGATAGATAGATAGATAGAAATGCATATGTGACGTAACATACATGTGAAAGTCAATCTGTGAAGGACCAATCTGTGGAGTCAGTTCCCTCCTTCCACTGTGTGGATCCCTGGGGATTGAACTTAGGTCTTTGGGCTTAATAACAAGTGCCTTCACCCACTAAGCCATCTTGCCAGCCAGCAAACAGCTGTTATACTGTAATGTTTAGGGGATTATGATGAGAAAAATCTCTGTATATGCTCAACATAGATTCAGTATTTCTCTTCCTGAATATCACCGGTCTATGATTGGGAGTAGTCAAGGATGCGGAACCCAAGAGAGTTGACTGGTGATTTGCATGTTCATTGGGCCCATCTTGATTCCTACAGAAAGGGGAATTGTCTCCTACTGAAGGAGAATGAGGTCAGCACCAAATCCCTTCTGAGAGTTTCATGAGATTTTTGTTTGTTGTTCAATTGTGCGTCCTTTCTGACATCTAGAGAAGAAATTGGACTTGGCATCGGTGGACCTATGGAAGATGAGAGTTGCAGAACTGAAGCAGATCCTGCACAGCTGGGGGGAGGAGTGCAAGGCCTGCGCAGAAAAAAATGACTACGTGAACCTCATCAAAGAGCTGGCCCCCAAATATGTAGAGCCACGCCCCCAAACAGAGCTCTGACCTCAGCTATCAGTGCACATGGACAGTAGTTAGAGTTAGTGTAAGACATGGATGTTTTGGTTAAGCTAACCAGGGGCCACCCTGGTGACTGCCAGTCTTGCTGTTGTACTGCTTGGGCTTATGATTAATCTGTGCTTCCTGCTGGCCACCCACATTTGCAGAGTACGGAGACCTCTGAGTGCATTTCTCAGCCTCCTTTGGAAGGTGCAGCGGCTCTCTTTGCATCACTGTGACAATAATGCCTGTCAGAAAGGAGTCGGGGGAGGGGAAGATTTACCTTGGCTCATGGTTTCAGTCCATCATGTCAGAGTAGCTAATGGAGGGGCAGCTCAGAGCATAGGGACAAGAACTCATCAGAGACTGTTGTCGTTGTGGTGGACTGAGAAGCGGAAAGTGATGTTCAAATAATGATAAGGCTGTAATCTTCCAAGGTCTAGCCCTACTGATCTACTTCTGCCAGCTAGACTTCACCTCACAGCACCCCCCATCACTGGGGGACACACATTAAAAATGAACTGATGGGGTACTGTACTGGCTGGTTTTGTGTGTCAACTTGACACAGGCTGGAGTCATCTGAGAGGAAGGAGCCTCAGTTGAAGAAACGCCTCCATGAGATCCAGTTGTAAGGCATTTTCTCAATTAGTGATCATTGGGGAGCGGCCCATCCCTGGGCAGGTGGTTCTGCTTTCTATAAGAAAGCAGGCTGAGCAAGCCATGGGAAGCAAGCCAGTAAGCAGCACCCCCTATGGCCTCTGTATCAGCTCCCGACTCCAGGATCCTGCCGTTTGAGTCTATGTTCGGGCTAATTATAACCACCCTTGAATTGCCAAAGGTTCAAGACTCAAGAAAGAGTCTTCTTTCATTGTCACACATCAGACAGAACTAGAACTCATTCAGCACACACAGGCAGCAGAGATGCCTATGGTTTCTAGTGCTATTCTGTCAGCTTCAAGCAGCAAACAAGAATTTCAGCTCCGTTTTCCAGTCATAGAAGAATAAGAACCCCATGGTAGAAGTGGTTGCTTTTCTGTCATAGGTCAGGGTGTGGATACCCAAGAAAGCATCCCCTTGAAACTTTCTGGGGTGATGGGAATGTTCCTTATCAGGGTGGGTGGTAAGAGAGATGATACAGAAGTATAGTTAAGATGTGGGTGTTTTATTGTACATCAATTCTATCTAATAAACAATTGCAAAAGTTATTTAAGAATTACTCAACTTAATTGATTAAAAGCAACTATTCATTTAAATAACCAATTGAAGTTACTGGCAATCTGTTTGTAGAGCAGAGAACTCACTCAGACAAATAAATATACATTGACAGAATAATGTCCACTTTTAAGTGATGCAAATGAATGCATTTTCAGCTGAGCAATGGAGTGTGAGTGAATGTGTTAGAGAATTATTGGCTTCCAAGGAGATATGCAGATTGCATAACTGGAAAAGGAGAATAAAAATTTTATTGTAATGAATGGCCCAAGGTGGTTCTTGTTTCTGGAGTTTAGCAGTTTTTTCACCATGTGAGAATAACCTCCTTCATTGTGAATTGTATTTAAGAAATACCAAAGTTGAACTGGAGAAGTGGTCCAGGGGTTATGAGCACTAGCTGCTTCTCCCAGATAACCCAGGTTCATTTCCCAGAACCCACAAGGTAGCTCACAATCCTCTGTGACACCAGTTCCAGAGGCTCCGATACCTCGGACATCCACAGGCACCAGGAACACAAGTAGCAAAATGCATATACACATAAAATAGAAACAAAAATACAAAAATTAAGTATATCCATATATTAGTCAGTGTTCTATTGCTGTGAAGAGACACCATGACCACAGAAACTCTTATTTAAAAAAAAGGAGTTTAATTGGGGGCTTACCTAACACTTTCAGAGGCTTAGTTCATCATCATCATGGTGGGGAGCACGCAGACATGTAGACGTGCTGGAGAAGTAGCTGAGAATTCTACATCCAGATCTACAGTCAGAGGAAGATGAGACTCTGGACCTGGCATGGGATTTTGAAACCTCAAAACCTACCCCAGTGACATACTTCCTCCAAGAGTCCACACCTCCTAATCCTTCTCAAATAGTGCTACTCCCTGGTGACTAAACAGTCAAATGTGTGAGCCTGGGGGCGGGGGCATCCTTATCCAACCCACTGCAGTCAGTTTCTATTTTGCACCCGAACTTGTGAAACTTGTCATTTGGAAATGACCTTAGCTATCTGATTTCAAAATTAGGTCTTATTTGTGTGTCATTTTTTTTTTTCTTTTTTAGGAATCTAGGTAATAGGAACACTATTTAGTAAGCCATTCAAATCACTGACATTGTATTCTTCTTTTTTCCAGTGCTGGCCATAGTCTATTTTTACTGGAATGCTTCTCAGACTTCTGAAGCTGCTCCTACAGAGCAGTAGGGTGTTGAGGACCAGCCTCGACAAAAATACTTCTTACCAGGGTAGGGGCATGGAAATTGAAGAAATATAAGTAAAGAATATAAAGACTCATAAAAAACATAATAAGACATAGAAGACATAGAAAGTATTGGGAGAGCATTCCAGTGACTGAAATCCTTTATTTTTCCACAACTTTAAACCCAATGTAAAGGGGAGTGGGCAACAAAAGACTTTATTAACAGGATACACAGGATAACTCACACAGTCAATGGCTTTATCACGCTGACACATCAAATCATTAGCATCCTGTTGTCTAGGTAGCAAAGGTGCTATTGATCAAGTATCCCGAAGACTGCCCCTCCCCAGGTGACCTCATAGTTACAAAAGAAGAAGCAGAAGTACATTTGCATATCCTGACCACCAGTCAGGATGGCTTGGATTTACTAGAATGAGCTATCTTAATTTCAAAAGAACCAAGCAATCACCTCCTGAGTTGGGACAGGCAAATGGGCTTGCCAATCTCCAAACTCTCTGACAGTCAGACAAGGTAGAAATGGGCCTGCATTTTTCGTTTTCGGCCTCCACAGTAGGGAAGCTTACTAAATTGCATATTTATATCCCTTGAGGCTGGGGCAGGACCTCAGAATCTACGTGTGTGTGTGTGTGTGTGTGTGTGTGTGTGTGTGTGTTGCAGATGTACACATGCATGCCAGTGCTCATGCATGCAGCGGCTGGAGGAGGATGTCACATGCCCTGCTGTCACTCTCAACCTGACCCCATGGAGGCAGAATCTCTCACTGAACTTCAAACTCCTACTTTATAGCTAGGCTGGCTGGGCAGCAAGCCCTGGGGTGTGCTTGCCTTTACTTTCCCGTGCAGGAACTGTAGGCATGCTAACCATACTTGGCTGTTGTGTGAGTCCTGGAGATTTGAACTCAGGCCCTTAAGACCTTCATGGACTGAGCTATCCACTAATCCCCAATCAGTTAGGTTTCAACTAGAATTTAAATATAACAGTGCCATTAGACATGAAGAAAGTTTATTCTTTTGTGTAAAAGAAGTCCAGTAGAAGGAAATTCCGAGTAAATTTGGTGGCCACAATGATCCCAGAGAGGCAGTTCAAAACTTTTTGCATCATATCCCAGTGATGGGTTCATTGCTAACCCTGGGTCTAAGTTGGTGGCCAGACTTCCTAGCTCCAGAAAGTAAGGACCTGCCTCTAACCTGAGTCCAGCCCACCTCCCATCCACGTACTGCTTCTGCACCATTGACCAGAACTGAATCGAGCCACTCAGCTGCGAAGGGGCTGGGGCAGTAATATCTTTTTGGTCGGATCCTGGCTATCCAAATCAAATCAGAGTTTTACTATGAAAGGGAGAAATAACTTGTGAGCACAAACCGCCTCTGAAGAGCAGTATAAATCTTTCCTGTCGCGCCTCTCAGGTGGTCGCTCCTGGTTATTTATGCTAGATAACCCTTCTCCTGGCTTTTTGAAACATTCATACATGTAAGGAGTGGAGTTCATATCTCCAGAACTGAGACCTGAAATGTGGGGTGTGAGTGTGGGCCCTCCTGTACGTCCATCCTTAGAAGCAGATACAGGGATCTCCAGAGCAAACTGGGCAGTCAGACTAGACTCTACCTCAATTCATAAGGTAGAAGAAAGCTGAAGATGGCTCTTGACATCAACCTGAATCTCCACATGCATGATCACATACATGTACATGTGCACACACGTGTGCACACTACACAAATATGAAATTGGAAACAAATAAACATAGTAGTTGGCAATGGCAGACCATTAATTGTTAGTTAAGGTATCTACTTAAGGTATATGCTCTAAATGTGGATTTTTAAAAATCATCTGCTGGAGATAATTTAATAATCCCCAAGGCCAGGCTGTACCCTAGAGAAGTGCCTTTCAGTCTTTGGATGAAGAGAGAAAGGATTTATTTATTTTTTTTTTAAATATTTTTTATGGTTTATTTAACTTTATTTTATGTGCATTGGTGTGAAGGTGTCAGATCCCCTGCAACTGGATCTTCAGACAGTTGTGAGCTGCCATGTGGGTGCTGGGAATTGAACCCGGGTCCTCTGGAAGAGCAGTCAGTACTCTTAACCTCTGAGCCATCTCTCCAGCCCAGGATTTATTTTTTAAAGATTTATTTATTTATTATGAGTGTATACAGTGTTCTGCCTGCATGTGACCTTGCAGGCCAGAAGATGGCAGCAGATCTCATTACAGGTGATTGTGAGCCACCACGCCGTTGCTGGGAATTGAACTCAGGGCCCCAGGAAGAGCAGTCAGTGCTCGCAAGGGCTGAGCCATTTCTCCAGCCTCAAGAGAAAGAATCTTAAGTGTCAAGACTTGGTAAAGCCTCCCAGATGCTTCCAATGTGAAGCTAAGCTTGGGAAATTGTTGCCCTAGGTGCTCTGCCTAGAACTGTGGCAGCTGCTTCCTAGGGAGGAGGAGACCTGGTGTGTGAAACTCACGTGGGTGACTTGGCTCTCCCAATGTTGATGGTTGACCTTGAAGGCTGACAAACACGGGATACTGTGTGGTGTGTGTTCTGTGGGCAGACACCCACTCATTCAGATGCTTGGCTTAGTTGTCCACACTGAGTGCATCGGTTTCCCGTCTCATAGCTGTGACAAGATACCTGGCAAAAAGCAATGTATGGGAAGATTTGTTTGGGCTGCAGTTTAAGGGTGTGGTCCAGCATGATGGGGGAGACATGGCAGAAGGAATGTGAGGTGACTGGTTACATTGCATCTGCTGTCTGGAAGCAGAGAGAGATGGAAGCTGATGCTCAGATCACCTGCCCCTCTTCCATCTGAGACTCCAGCCCGCAGGAAGGTTCTACTCAATTCAAGGTGGGTCTTCTCTGTTCGGTAAGCCTCTCTGGAAACTCCCTTATAGACACACCCAGAGGTTAAGGTGACAATGAAAGATTAACAATTGCTCTGGATAACAGATTAACCCCCACTGAGACCCAAGATGCAACAGCTCATATAGACTACACACAGTCCCACAGTACGCTACCAAAATCTCTGCAGAAATATGTTCTAGGAACTCAAAAAAAATTTTTTTTAAGTTTAGAAAGGATATGTTTCTCATAAGAGTTGATAATATTTTCCCATTTCTAGAGATGGAACTCAGAGGCTAGGTAAGCACTGTAACCCTGGCACATATACTAATATTGATGATTTCCCCACTCTTAGGAGCTTGAAGCAGCACCATCTTTAAATCTCGGTCAGGTGGTGACACTAGAAGAATTCGGATCATCTCAGCATCACATGGGAACCTCATGATTATCAGAACTTTTTGAAACAGGGGACTTAAAGAAAAAGATCATAGGTGACAGTAATTTATCTGGCCTGTGTGGGTCTCAATCATTAAGTATCATAACGGTCGCTCTTCTCTCAAACCACCACTTCCCATTTCCCAAAGGCTTCTAGAAGTTGAAAAGCACTTGGGATCACAGACAATCAGGGATCAGGGCAGCTGGCCTGCTCTTTTGGCTACTGATTTTCATGGCACTCTGAGAAGTTTAAGCATCAGAGGGCTGTAGAGGAATCACACTTCACGGGGTCACTTTCCCTCCCTCAACGTCTCTATCAGCTATGGGATGCATGCGTGAGTGCGTGAGTGCGTGTGTGTGTGTGTATGTGTGTGTGTGTGTGGCTCATGAGAGCCAAAAAGCACGAGGGAGCCACTGCTCCCCCTCCTCGCAGCCCCCACCCTTAGAACACCACTCTTGTTACAAGCAGGTGTCCCTGGTTCAGCAGATATTCTTTCAGGCGGCGCTGTG